CGGCGCCAAGGGGAGGTGTCACTCGGCAGTGGAGGAGTCTGGGTGCCCAGGCCGGGTCAGAGTCGGGGGCCGCCCTGGGCACTGTCAGATCCGCGGGGTGCCCCTGCGCACCGAGGCCCGCGGAGCGTTTCTCACGACGGTGTGCGCTCCCACGCTCTCCCACAGGCAGCATCTCCTGCTTCAGACATCGCCGTCCACTCCACAGGACACAGCCGTCCACTTCTCGGTGCTCCGTGGACGCCTCCCGTCCCAACCTCTGCTCGTTTCTGAAAGCACCCTCCTTGGCACCTGAAACCTGGACTTCTCCTCCCCATGCTCCTTCTCACTGGGGAAGCCTGCCCCTCCTTCTACCCTGTCACCAGGGGCAGGGGCAGGGGCAGGGTCTGGGCAGGGGCAGGGGTAGAGTCAGGGTCAGGGTCTGGGCAGGGGCAGGGGTAGAGTCAGGGTCAGGGTCTGGGCAGGGGCAGGGGCTGGGGCAGGGTCAGGGGCAGGGGCTGGGGCAGAGTCAGGGTCTGGGCAGGAGCAGGGGCTGGGGCAGGGGCAGGGTCAGGGTCTGGGCAGGGTCTGGGGCAGGGTCAGTGTCTGGGCAGGAGCAGGGTCTGGGGCAGGGTCAGGGTCTGGGGCAGAATCAGGGTCTGGGCAGGGGCTGGGGCAGAGTCAGGGTCTGGGGCAGGGGCAGGGTCTGGGCAGGGGCAGGGGTAGAGTCAGGGTCAGGGTCTGGGCAGGGGCAGGGGCTGGGGCAGGGTCAGGGGCAGGGTCTGGGGCAGAGTCAGGGTCTGGGCAGGAGCAGGGGCTGGGGCAGGGTCAGGGTCTGGGCAGGGTCTGGGGCAGGGTCAGTGTCTGGGCAGGAGCAGGGTCTGGGGCAGGGTCAGGGTCTGGGCAGGGTCTGGGGCAGAATCAGGGTCTGGGCAGGGGCTGGGGCAGAGTCAGGGTCTGGGCAGGGGCTGGGGCAGAGTCAGGGTCTGGGCAGGGGCTGGGGCAGAGTCAGGGTCTGGGCAGGGGCTGGGGCAGAGTCAGGGTCTGGGCAGGGGCTGGGGCAGAGTCAGGGTCTGGGCAGGGTCTGGGGCAGAATCAGGGTCTGGGCAGGGGCTGGGGCAGAGTCAGGGTCTGGGCAGGAGCAGGGGCAGGGGCAGAGTCAGGGTCTGGGGCAGGGGCAGGGTCTGGGCAGGGGCAGGGGTAGAGTCAGGGTCAGGGTCTGGGCAGGGGCTGGGGCAGAGTCAGGGTCTGGGGCAGGGACTGGGGCAGAGTCAGGGTCTGGGCAGGGGCTGGGGCAGAGTCAGGGTCTGGGCAGGAGCTGGGGCTGGGCCTGGGAACCTCCTCCTCTGGAGGCCTCTGCCTCAGTCTTCCTGTCCGCACGCAGTCTTCCTCACCAGCATCTCCACCACGCTCCTAACAACTGGTCTGCTAGCTGTTTGCCTCCATCTCACCCGCCTCCATCTCTAGAGACTAAAGCACTCGGCCTCGGAGCCTCAGCTCCAGACCCTCCCTCCTGACGCACTAAGACCGGCGTCCTTGGGGAACCAAAGGGCCTCCCTCCTCTCTCCCCTGTGCCGCCTGCCCCCTGCCCCCAGGCCCTCCCGCCTTCTCGTTGGTCCCGCCCACTGCAGGGACGCGGGTGCTCCCACCCGCTTTGCCCTCACTTGTGATGCTGTCGCCAGTGTTTTGTTGTTAATCCTCGTCTGAGGATATTTCCCCATTGATTTTTAGAGAGAATGGAGGAGAGAGGGAGAGACAGAGAAACATCGATGTGCGAGGGACACACTGATTGGCTGCCTCCTGCATGAGCCTGGGCAGGGAAGGAGCCTGCAACCGAGTACATGCCCTTGACGGGATCGAACCCGGGACCCTTTGGTCAGGAGGCAGACGCTCTGTCCACTGAGCCCACTGGCCAGGGCGAGCTGTCATCCATTTTGCGGAGCGAAGGCCACCCAGGGCGGGGCTCCTGGCTCCTTTCCTTTCCCTTCCCTGTCCTCGCCTCAGGCAGCACCCCTCCTGCCAGGCCCCCTGTCCGCCTCCCACTTCCTCTCACCGACCCTTTCTCCCTCTTATGTGTTCTCTTTTCTTGCTCCTCCATTTCACAAATTCAAGTTTTTTTCTTGAAAATAAAAAAAATCCTTCCCTGACTCTTTCTCCCTTTCATCTCTCACCTTCCTTTTCTGTGTGATGTCTCAAGAGACAGCTAACCACCCTAACCAACCACTTTTTCGGGAACTGGTAGAATTTCCTCATCTGTAAAATCTGTGGGTTGACTAGAGACAATTCTTAGTTTCTTCCGTATTCGCCATTCTCTGACTTTGTACTCGCCGCCTCCCACTGGCTCCTCGGCCTATAGACGGCGACTCCTGCCCTGTGAGTGGAAACTATCTTCTCACAATTTGTAATCACCCGGCTCCCGAACCTCCACGCTCTTTCCGCCCCCCCCCCCCTCGCTGAAGCCTGCGGCGCTCTCCGGGCTCTGCGCCCGCGCTTGGGGATCCTGTCCACTCAGTTCCACCTCCCCGGGAGAGGAGTGGCACCCACGCCCACCCCCGGCCAGCACCCCGTCCGCGGGCACCTCCGCTTCCTGTGCGGCCGTGCACACGGGCAGTGCTTCGGTAGACGGCGAGCTGAGGGCAGTGGCTCCCTCTCGGGCCGCAGCTGGGACAGGCAGACTGTGTGAGGGACTCCTTTGTGCAGGGCGTCGTCGCCGTCCGCGCTCTGGTCCCGCCGAGGCTGTCAGGCCGGTACAAACCGCTCCCCCCTCCGGGGCCACCGAGTCTCCCTGCCCCAGGGGGACGCCCTTACTCGGGTGGCGCGGCCTCGCAAGCACAGGACGCCGGAGCCCGGCCTCCTGCCGGACGCCGCGGGCAGGTGACGGGTTAGGGAGGCGCCAGGTCACACAGGGCAGGTGTTCAAACACCTTTCTTCCTCCCGACCCTCTGCGGGCATCTCCGCACGCCTGGGCCCTCACCGCACAACACTCTGCCGCGGACTCCCTGCCTCTGCGCAGCCATCGGCGACCTCCGGCCAGCCACGCCCACGCCCGCCCGCTCAGGCACATCTCCCACCGAGGACGCCGGTTCTCAGGCTGCTTGCTGCGGCTGGTAGGGCGCCTTCTGGCCCTTTTCCTAACCAACCCAGACCTGACGGACCCCACACCCCACACAGACCTCCACCTCATCAGCCTCGTTCCCCACCGTTTCCCTAACTGAATCCCAGACACCGCCCCCGAGAACCGATTCCCGGCCCGTCTCCCGAGGACACACGCTCTCCTGCTTCGTGGGAGGCAGCCAGCCCGGACGCCGGGCCCCTCCTGGCCCCCACCGTGGCGGACAGGAAGCCCGCTGCCTGGCCCGGGTCAGAGGCGGCCAGGGCCTCAGAGGCTCAGTATTTTTATCAGCCGAGGAAAAAGAGGCGCTGCAGCGGAAGCCATGTGGTCAGAGAAAGTGAGCAGCCCTCATCTCAGGGGAACCCCCAACGGGGCTGGGGGCCAGGCACCAGGGAGGGACACTGGGAGGGAAGGCTGGGGGCCAGGACCTGGCCTTATCGTGCTGTGGTTTATGTCACTCTTGCAAAGGGCAAGCGATGTGCTTAAAAACCAGAGAAAAATCTGGATGGAGGAGCAAATGTGACACCAAAGTTTTCTGACACTTACCTGTCAGCTCCCAGTCAGACCCTAACCCGCCCCCAACCTGAGCTCTTTGCATGCCACTTCCGAACCCCCGCTGGGAGGGAACCGGACGCCTGGGCTGCTCGCGGCGTCTCTTCTCTGAATCACAGCAGCTTCCTCTCGAGCCCTTCCTCCTCAGCCCCAACATCTGGCGACGCCTCCGGCCTTGGGCCTCTGGCTGTCTCCCCGGGGTCCCGTGCTCGCCCCACATTGCCATGCCACGTTCTGAGGCCTCCCCTTCTGCTCCCCGGCTCCCAACCTGAGAGATGAGCTGCCGCAGGAGCGCCTGGGCGCAGCGCCCGCCGCGCTCGCCGCTCCTGCGGCACCGGCCTGCCCTCCTCACTCCCCTGGGGCTGGGCTGGGCTGTCTGGTCCTCCGCCAGACCAGGGTGCTGGAGCTGAGCACCAACAGCAGGCAGAAGGGCGCCCCGTCCTTCTCCCTCCACCCTCAGGACATTTCCCTGGAGGGCCAGGCCCGCTGCCAGCGATGGCACCCAGGCTGCAGGGGGCAGAAGCTACGGAGGGAGCTGGGCACTGAGCTGTCGAACAAACTCAGCCTATTGGAGGCATTGGCTAGAAATACACGACACGATTTATACACAGGTTTGCAAACTGGAAGCAGGAGGCAGAGCCAGCGGTTTCCGAGGACAAGCTGCGCTCTCGGGTACGAGGGCCCCTGGAGAAGGCGGGCCTGGGGGCTTAGCCAGGGCCCGCCCGTCAGGTGGCGGCCAGGCAGACCAGGCGGTCCGGTCACCCATGTCTGGGTCCCGGGCGCAGTGAGGCCCTCGGGTGAGGGCGGTCAGGAGGCCTGTGTGTGCCCGGGCCTGACACGGGCCGGGAGAACGGAGAAGTCCGAGCTCCCAGGTGGTTTAAACGAGCACAGAGTCGTTTCCTCGGCCTCACCCGCCTGGCTCAGTGACTGAGCAGCTCCACGAGAGTGAGTCCATGTTACTCCTCACCCTCCGCGGTGTGGGTCCCTGGTTGCCCAAGAACAGACACCCCAGGTTACATAACTGGGCTCTTTCCGCCTCCTCCCTGGTCCTAATTTTAGCAACCGAAATTCCACTCCCCCGCGCGCTCCGCCTCCATCCCTGCTGTCCCGACCTCTCAACCCCCTCGAGGTCCCAGCTCCGCTGCCCCCACTTGGACCATTGGGTGACTCAGCAAAGGGAAAGCCCTGTCTGCTGGGGAGGCAGTGAGCAGGGGGAGGATGTGGTCTGGGGGGAGTGGGGAGGGAGGGAAACTAGGTTTGTTCCCTTTTTTGGCGGGTGTTCACACTCATCTCTTGGCCCCCGATTTCCGAGGGGAGCCCGGAGGAGGGCGAGGAGTGAGGCGGGCGGGCACCCGGCCGCTCAGGGCCGCCGGCGTCCGGCGCAGGCGGCCGTGCGTGCGGGTCAGTGCAGAGCTGGGTTCGGCAGCCCGCGGCGAAGACGGCATGGGCGATGCGAGCCTGGGAGTGGGACGTGGAACCAGGTCTTATTAGGAAGTGGCGGAGCCGGAGCAGTGGTGGCTGCCCGCCCCCGCTCATCACAAGTTTCGCTCGCACCCCACATCCTCTGCTCACAGTGCGGTCTGCCGCGGCTCGTCACCCCACCTCTGGCCATGCCCTTCCTGCCGGTGCCTCGAAGGCTGCGTTCCCTGCAGTCCCGCCTGGTCTCCCGGAGGTCACTTGAGGGCCTCCGCTCGGCGATTCAGGGCCTGAGAAAGGGCTGTCACGGCTCCCATCACTCGGCCCAGCTCCCAGGCCTCAATCTGGCTCCCGAATCGCTGTAGGAAGCGGTCTGGGTGCCAGCGAACCTGCTGGGCCCTCAAGTACCTCCTCAGGGCCTCTTTCTCCGCCAAGGGGGGACCCCGGGCCACCAGGGCTGCTGCCATGGCCTCCGGGTCCCCTCCCCCAGGGCAAGGCCAGGGCACATCGCCGAAGCGCCAGAGATTACCCCTGCCGACTCCCCTGGGCTGCTGGGCCCCGGGCCCCAGGTCCCTGCGAGCCTCCTGCGCCCGCTCCTGCGCCCGCCGGGCTCTGCTCTCCCGCAGCTCCTCCTCCTTGGTCCTGGCCCGCTCTTGGAAGAGCCTCCGCTCCTCCTCCAGCCGCCGCCAGCCCAGACGGGCGCCCTCAGCCCGGGCGGGCCGGCAGGCCCCCGTGGCCTCACGCTGCTGCCGGCACTTCTGGGCATGCTCCCGCGCCAGGCGATCTGACCAGGCTGAGAAGGACTCGGGTTCCGGGGCCTCACGGGAAGCATAGTCTGTTTGGGAGGGCGGGACAGAGGTAGTGGGGAGAGGCCATGAGGTCACGGCAGAAGCGGGCGGCAGGGGAAGGGTGCAGGACGGGTGCAGGCACACGGCAGCTGGGAAGGGCAGCTGAGGGGGGAACGGACTCCTCACCTTCGAGCCACCCCGTGACCTCCTGCCACTCGTCCTCCAGCTCTTCCTGCAGCTTCTGCCTCCACTGGTGCTCCTTGGACGCGTCTTCCTCCTCCTCTTCAGCAGAACCCCAAGGGGGTCCCCAGCCCAGAATTTGTCCTGGGGTCTTCCCATCCTTATTCTTTACTCCCAGGGCAGAGGGGCAGCGATGCAGCAGCGGCAGGAAGAAGTCGGTATAGGCTGTTGGTGGGAGACGGGGGAGTTAGCTGGGCCTGCTTGTCTGCCCGCCTGCACCTGACAGTCGCTGACAGCTTACCGCGTTAGCTGTTCCGGCCTGTGTCCCCATCAACTATTTTGTTTTCCGGTCTGCCTCCAGCCACCAGGGCAATGTCAGAAAACTCTGACCCTGTGTTCCAGTTTTGGCTGGAAAGTACACTGAGTGGCCAGATTGCAATGATCTCTGAACGCATAATAATCTGGCCCCTCAGTGTATATTCTATTGATATATAATAAAAGGCTAATATGCAAATTGTCCTCTCGACCAGGAGTTCAACCAGCAGGCAGGCCGGCCAACCACCCATGTCCCCTCCCCGTGGCCAGATCCCACCCATGGACAAATTCATGCACAGGCCTCTAATGTGTGTGTGTGTGTGTGAGTGAGTGTGTGTGTGTAGAGATCATAATAATCTGGCCACTCAGTGTGTGTGTGTGTGTGTGTGTGTGTGTGTAGATCATAATAATCTGGCCACTCAGTGTGTGTGTGAGTGTGAGAGAGTGTGTGTGTGTGTATGTGTATGTGTGTGGGGTGTGTGTGTGTGTGTGTATGTGTGTGGGGTGTGTGTGTGTGTGTGTGTGTGATCATAACAATCTGGCCACTCAGTGTGTTGTCACTTTAGCCCAGCCGGCGTGGCTCAGTAGTGGAGTGTCGACCTATGAAGCAGTAAGTTTGATTCCCAGTCAGGGCACATGCCCAGGTTATGGGCTCGATCCACAGTGAGGCATGCAGGAAGCAGCCGATCAACAATTCTCTCTCATCACTGATGTTTCTCTCTCTCTGAGATTAAAAAGACAATATTGTCACCTTATACCTCTCACCCCACATTATATTTCAGATTGGTAAAATATTTGAACATTCTACTCTACCATAATAAATATGCAAATATAGAATAGGTATCTTTTTATGTTACTTTTCAATAAACTGCATAAAATAAATGTTTTTAGGGGAATTTCCCTCAGCCAGCCTTCCCCGGGGCATGCTGGGAGGGTAGAGGTAGAGGGCCAGATCAGCAGAGTTTGAAGCAGAGAAATGCTCCATGCAACCAGCAAGCCCTTTCCAACAACTGCTGGCATAGGGGAGGGGAGAGGGGCGGAGAGGGGTCCGCCCAGGAACTCCCCTCCCTGGGCCCTGACTCCCGAGTGGCCACGCCCAGGGCCGTGTGCTCACTTCACCACCTACCCAGGCCCCCAGCACCCCCGCCTGGGACAGGAGGGTGCGGGAGGCTCTCCCACCGAGGGCCTGCTTCCTCTCGCCAGGACTGGAGGGGGCTGGCGGCCCTCCCACCTTTACTCTGTGGCACCGGCTCTCTGGGAAAACACGGGCAGAGGGAGGTTCCCACTGCAGGGAGGCGGGGGAGAACGGCCCAGCCTTGCGGGCCGAGGCCCAAGGCCCACGCATCTCCGGGCGCACTGGAGCAGCGCGGGATCCAGAGCCCAGAGGGAGGGAGGGCACTGCTCCCCTGACCAGGGCTCACGGCGGGGGAGGGCGGCAGGTGCTCAGGCTAGGACGGGAAGGTTTTAAGGAGTAAGGCTTCCAACTATAAAATATAAGTGAGATAGGACACAGGATATTAAATAGTAACTAAAAACGATGCGTGTGTGGAAAAAGCTGGCTATAAAACTGTACCCGGGCTCGGACTGCAGCTGTGTAAGAGAGCAAGTGCCGGCGGGGGGAAGCGCAGCAGTAGCTGAGGCTCTGGTCTCGGCGCTGGGACCGTGGGCGGCCTCCCGCTCCTACTCAGCATTCTGAGGTGAACGGATGTAACGAATGGTTAATGCTCTTTCCTCGTAAAGAATGAAGAATTCGTGTAATCACTCTGCCCACCAGGCTGCTGTCCTTTCCAGTCCTATCTGGGTGACAGAAACCACAGCTGAGTTTGCCAGGGATACGTGACCTCACTATATGTTTTATCTGGCAACTTGCTCTTTTCGCTTAGCATCTCGTCCATTTTCCACGGGAGTGCGCATGGTGGCCCCTTTTTCATGACTGTGTGGTGTCTCACAGTGCGCGGAACAAACCACCCCCCCGAGAAGGACTGTTTCCAAACTGCCCGGCTTCCTGCTCGCCTCTGCAGGCTCCTGGGTGTTTCTGCCGGGCTGGTCTCAGAAGCGGAATTTCTGAGTCAAACAGCTCTCGTTAGCCCAGCACACACCCCTATGGAAATCTGTGTCGTCCTTTACCCAAACCGCGTCTCACCAACCTTTTCATTGGCCCACCTGACAGATGAAAGAAAGATGTTCATTATGAGATTTTCTTTTTCCTGTGCTTTTTGGCTCTTTGTGTTTCTGTTGTGAATGACCGGCTCTTATTCATCTACTTTCCCCTCGGAAACCATAGAGATGCAGCCTCTATGGTGGAGATCAACCCTGTGTCTGTGCTACATGCATCGTAGGTATTTTCTCCCATTCCCACTAGCTTATGCCAGAGTGCTGTGGTTGGGTGCCGACCTATGAACCAGGAGGTCAAGGTTCGATTCCTGGTCAGGACACAGGGCTGGTTGTGGGCTGGATCTCCAGTGGCAAGGTGGAGGGGAAGACGTGCAGGAGGCAGCTAATAGGTGATTCTCTCATTATTGATGTTTCTATCTCTTTTTCCCTCTCCCTTCTTCTCTGAAATCAATAAAAATATATTTGTAAAAAAAATTTAATGTAGCCAAAGCCGGTTTGGCTCAGTGGATGGAGTGTCAGCCTGCGAACTGAAAGGTCCCAGGTTCAATTCCGGTCAAGGGCATGTACCTTGGTTGTGGGCACATCCCCAGTAGGGAGTGTGCAGGAGGCAGCTTATCAATGTTTCTCTCTCATCTATGTTTCTATCTCTCTATCCCTCTCTCTTCCTCTCTGTAAAAAAATCAATAAAATATATTAAAAAAAAGAAAAAAAGTAAGCTATGTGAGGGAAACGCAGCTCACCGCCATATGACAGGAGGGCACATGCCAGTCACAGGAGGGGCTCCCTGGGGGGAAAAACTCAGAAGGCAGCATTGAAGAAAATTTTACTTTATCCGTGATGGTTTTCTTTTTAAAAAATTTAATAAATTTAATAAATCTTTATTATTCAGATTATTACAATTGTTTCTCCTTTTTCCCCCATAGCTCCCCTTCACCCCATTCCTACCCCACCCTCTGCCCTTACCTCCTCCCATTGTCCTCATCCATAGGTGTACGATTTTGTCCAGTCTCTTCCCCCACCCCCACACCCTTTTCCCCCTGAGAACTGTCAGTCCACTCCCTCTCTTTGCCCCTGATTCTATTAGATTCACCAGTTTATTCTGGTCATCAGATTTTATTTATTTATTTATTTATTTATTTAATATATTTTATTGATTTTGTACAGAGAGGAAGGGAGAGAGATAGAGAGTTAGAAACATCGATGAGAGAGAGTCATCGATCAGTTGCCTCTTGCACACCCCCTACTGGGGATATGCCCGCAACCAAGGTACATGCCCTTGACCGGAATCGAACCCGGGTCCCTTCAGTCCCCAAGCCGACGCTCTATCCATTGAGCTAAACCAGTCCCGGCCTGGTCATCAGATTTTAATTCACTTGATTTTTAGGTTCACTTGTTGATAGATATGTATTTATTGTTCATAATTTTTTTCCCCCCTACATTCTTTTTTCCCCTCCTTTCCCCACAGTTTGGAAATATGCTTCCAACATGAAAGAAAGCAAAGGCAATACTTTGAATGATAAGGAAGATTTTAAGAATATGGATGATTTTGTGGGTAAATCATAGCTATCCTCTATGCCTTAATTCTTGACTTGTGCAAGAAAGAAATAAAAATTCTACTTTATTTGAGGCACTACAATTCAGGTTACATCTGCTCCACTTGTACTGTATTATTATAGAAATTGGCTCCTGTGAGTGGGATACAGTCATCATAAAGATCAAACTATGAGGCATTAGTACAGTGAGTTGTGAAGCAGGTAAAGAGGGAAATACTCAGGCAAGAAAGAGGTCAGTACCCCTTGTCATGGGGCTGAAAAATATATGGTAACTTGGCAATAGACCACATTACTACCTAGGAGAATAGGCTAAAGAAAGCAAGTCAATTTTTTGGACATTGGCTGCTACCTGGAATTTTTATCAAAGTGCTATAAGAGACATGAGATAAAGTTAGGCAAGAAGTAACCCTCTTGCAAAAAAAGATGGAAGAGAACATAGTTTTATTAATGTAGAGTTTTATTGCCTCTGAAATGCAATTTAATGGATTAAAATGCTATTCGAAGGTTGGAAAGTTGACTTCTTAGATTTTCTAAAGAGTGTGACATAAGAGTGTCATCAGAGCCAGGCTAGAGACAAAGATCAGTATAAGATTATTGGCTTTTTTTTTTGGGGGGGGGGGGTTGTTGTTCATAATTTTTATCTTTATTTTTTTCTTCTTCCTCTTTTTTTAAAAAATATATATATATTTTATTGATTTTTTTTACAGAGAGGAAGGGAGAGGAATAGAGAAACATCGATGAGAGAAAAACATCGACTAGCTGCCTCCCGCACACCCCCTAACTGGGGATGTGCCCACAACCAATGTGCCCTTGATCAGAATCGAACCTGGGACCTTTCAGTCCACAGGCCAATGCTCTATCCACTGAGCCAAGCCCGTTTCGGCTCTTCTTCCTCTTCTTAAAGAATACCTTTCAGCATTTCATATACTGGTTTGGCGTTGATGAACTCCTTTAGCTTCTTATCTGTGAAGCTCTTTATCTGACCTTCCATTCTGAATGATACCTTTGCTGGGCAGAGTAATCTTGGTGGTTTTATTTCTTTAAAATGAAATAATGTTGCAAAAATGACAATATATTAACATTCCCTGTGACAGGAATAGAGGTGTTTATTGTTCTATACTTTCTACTTATTCTGAATTTTTTAGGTTTCTAAAAATAAAAGTATAGTAGAAAAACACAGGGGAATTGTTTTGTAATCTTGGAGTGAAGAAAACCTTCCAAAGAATGAAATAAAGTCAAAAG